ACTAAATAAGGTTTAAAACATAATCAATGTTGGGGTTATCCGATCTTGATTTATTTTTTATTATTCCACCTGTTTCTGGCCGCTTCAAGCCATTTTGCATGAGTATTTTTAAAATATTTTATTCCGTCAACCATTAAGCCCCAAAGCTTCTCTCATGGCTTTTTATAAGCGTGTGCTATAGTTCTATTCAGCGATATATCTTTAAAACACACTCCTCTAATAATATTTTTTTATGCGACAAAATTTCGAAAATTTCTAATAAAAAACCTTGGTCTTGAGAGATTTTGTGTCCAGTAGAGGGTTGATAATTATTTCTAATTGATTAATCTTCATTTTGCCGTTTTCTTGAAGTTTTTACCCACAGAACAATACCAAAACGACTATTATAGCATAAATGGTTGAAAATGGTTACACAATTGTATTTACAGAATTTTCAAGTTCAACGCTTCAATTGACAATTTTGAAGACGTCACAGCTCTAATTATTACTGCACAGACCACCCACAATGCAAAAAATTGTTATTTTTGCGACGGAAATGCGCGTAGAAAGACGTAAACAATTCAATTAGCGTCGTTACGCTTGAAAATTACCATTACTTTTTTTTCACGTTCAAAAAATCTCGATACCTCTACCAAGTATGGTGCAGTCGAAATCATATTTATTAAAATATCATAGCGCCAGGGTATGTATGACTGAAAATACATGCTAAACCAATAACGAGAATATCGGTCGGAGATCGAAGACTTATCGATCGAAACTGCGGTTTCGATTCATGACTTTATAGTGACACCGCGTGTCCCATCACTAATTAATTATTAACTCGCTAATTATACCACATAATTCATTCAAAATCAATAGGCTTCTGGTCCGAGATATGATGACATGCACATGCAAAATTTGGAGCAGATTCAACCACGCCTCCGTGAGATATCGCGTGCATCTAACAGACAGACAAACAGACAAATACCTATCAACATACTTACCGATTAAAATCGATAAGTAATGACTTATTATTAATCGATATTTAAATCGGTCTAACAGACAGACAAATACCTATCAACATACTTACCGATTAAAATCGATAAGTAATGACTTATTACTTATCGATCTTTAAATTGTATTAGTCTGTCTGTTAGATGTACGCGATATCTCACGAAAGCGAGATTGGATCTGCTGCAGATTTTTTATGTGCATTCATCATATCTCGTACCAGAAGCCTATTGATTTTGGGTGAATTATGTCGTATAATTAGCGAGTTGTCAATTGATTAGTGATGGAACACAAGGTGTCACTATGGAATAAGAGCGCTGTTTTGGGATCCCCTAACTTTCGATCGATAAGTCTTCGGTCTCTGACCGATATTCTCGTTATAAAGAGGTACTGATATATATTTCCTGTCTGAGTCGCGTCAGCAATTTTACGTATATGAGTGGCGATTTCGAAATCGACGCTTTTTAAACGATTTGCAGATCGCGTCACAGCTGGATGGTTCTGTTACTTCTCGTTACTAGCCAAGCTGGCGTAGGAAATTTCTTTCTAACCCTTAAGCTACATTTGAATCGTTGAAGGCACTTTTTATATAAAGATCCGATAGCGCAATAAAGTGAAACGTGAGCATTGTTTGGATATTTAGCTCGGGCAATCTACGGTGTGGGGAAATAAATACTTAACAATTATGACATACAACCACCATTACACAAAGCCTTACATTAGTGTTTAATTTAATTCCTTCACTTCTTTTTATCTTCTATAATCACAGTGTTATTGTTCTTTGCATCATGAACTACGAGCCCGATTGTGTGGCAATGTAGATATCGGGAAAGTATTGTAATGCAATGTGTCCTCGACTAAAATTGTATGACGAAACCAATTCTTCTGTGTAATCAAATATTATGTGTTGTAATTAGGGCTGTGAATGGTTAACCGATTTTAGATGGTTAACGGTTACGATTTATTTTAACCGTTAACTGACATCTCAAGTACAAATCATCTTTATAATGTACAATTTCTTCAAAAATGATCAACTTAATCGCAAATTTATCTCCCGTGGCGTTTAATTCATGAGAATATCACTGATTGCATTGGTGAGCACCAAAAAATGTAGAAAATTATTGAAGTACCAATATCACTGACTATGAAAATTTCACAATGATAAATTCAGAATCAGATTTCAGTCAGAATATATTGTTCACGATTTTATTGCAAAAGCGTCTATTCAATGTCATCCAACAAGTGCGCAGTTGATGCTGTCTTTCTTTATGATATCTCAAAGTAGAATTTGCAGATCGAACACTTAAAATTTGTTTCATAAATGACATTTAATAACGGAATGGAGTTTCACCAAAATACTTACATGTGTCCGAAGCAGGCTGCATATCTCTTGCAACAGAGCGATCATGAAACTATCTCCATTCGTGAATGATTTTGTGCAATACCGGGATAATATCACTCAAAATTGGTTTCGAACCATCGTGACGTAACAATCTAAAATTATAACTTATTACGTCAAACGTCACGCAGTGGTTAACCGGTTAATTTTACCCGGTTAACGGTTAAAGTTTTCTCCCTAAAATACCCAGCCCTAGTTGTAATACGTTTTGTCGTGCCTTGCTTGCTTGCTTCTGTACATTCAACTTCTGAGTTATTAGTGCGTATAAGGCACGATTAGCCAAGTCAGGCATTACGTGAAGTTTCAAAGTGAGTTTTATTGTGAGCTATCCAGAACCAGAGAATAAAAGCTACGACTGAACAACAACCGTTTCGACTATAAATGTATATTGATAGAGATGCAATATGTCGCACCCGGGTTAACTTCAGACGCTTAGGCGAACTTATGAAATAAGAAGTAATATTGAGGCAAATAATATCTACAATTCACTTATATTCAAGCAACTTTTAGTCTGTAAAATGAAGTATGCTGACAAAATTGTTATTCTACCTTGAGCGTATATTTACTCATTTAAACTCTGCGAGGAAGCTCCCTGCGCAGGCCAATATTTACCGAAGCAGTATTCCGTGACGAGGCGTATAGATAACTTCCTCATTCTATGGCTAAAGATACATTATAATGCTATGTGAGATTGTGGCTTCATATTTTTTCGAATAAAGTCAGGCTTACGTGTTTTAGAGTTTAGTATGAGAATGAGAATTGCCGGCACTAAATACCGACACTAAATGTCGAATGACCAAGATTGAAATATAAAATGAGTGAAAATTGGTCGTTAGCATTTGTAAGCCACTTTATTGATCAGAATGTTTTCGGATATAAGAATGGATGGTCATGTAATCGCGTTTTACAGGCGGATAAAATCTTACTGGCTGTTACCGATTGATCACTTTAATAGAACGTGGTGATTAGCTTTGATTGGCACGTAGCAAGTAGAACATTACAATGCTCAAATATTAAAGCAGCCTTGCCTAACAAGACATTTTTACAGCGAGGCATAGAAATATTAAATGTCGTGAGAATATATATTTCAGCGACCCTTATTACTTATCGATCTTAAGATCGGTAAGTACCGTATGTTGATAGGTATTTGTCTGTTTGTTTGTTTGTCCGTCTGTTAAATACACGCGATATCTCACGAAAGCGAGGTTGAATCTGCTCCAAATTTTGCATGTGCATTCATCATAGTTCGGAACAGGAGCCTATCGATTTTGGATGAATTATGTCGTATAATTAGCGAGGTATTAATTAATTAGTGATTAGACACACGGTGTCACTATGGAGTAAGACCACTGTTTTGGGGGATCCCCTAACCTCCAATCGATAAGTCTTCGGTTTTCAACCGAATTCTAGTTTGTTTGTTTGTTTGTTTGTCTGTCTGTTAGATACACGCGATATCTCACGAAAGCGAGGATGAATCTGCTTTAAATTTTGCATGTGCATTCATCATATCTCGAATCAGAAGCCTATTGATTTTGGATGAATTATGTCGAATAATTAGGCGAGTTATTAATTAATTAGTGATGAAGAGATCTGGATTTTTTTCAAATCGAGGGAGCGATTTTTACAAAGCGAGAAATTTTTGAGACGCGCCGAATGTGTGTGTGTGCGATGCGCGAGTTTTCACGCATAGCGAAGGATACACACCGCTAGATCGTATCTCGTGATTAATCTTTTAGCATTGTCCATATCCCTCTTGTAACTTTGAGGTCGTCACGATGCGCAAGTTTCCTTCGAGAAATTTTCCACGCTATTGAAACAGAGCGAAAGATACACGCCGCGAGATCGTATCTCGTTACCTCTTTAAGCAATGTCCATATCCCTCTATCAGGTTCGGGGTTGCAGAATTCCTCACCAAAATATCGCTAGGCTGTGTTTGGATTGCCGTCGCAACCCAGGTTAGCGCCGTTGTATTTGACACAAATATAGGATTGGTTAATAGACTATTGGCTGTAAACTAATCGAAACAATCCAGTTCGTGTTTGCAAAATGTTTCGAATCGAAACCGCAGTTTCTGTTTTGGGGGATCCCCTAACTTTCAATCGATAAGTCTTCGGTCTCTGACCGATATTTTCGTTTTTTTTTATTAATCCAACTTTTTCAGTGCAAACATTAATCAAGTATTTCCAACGGACATTTTTGCCATAACAAACCGTCCAGTATAAGAAAATCTTTTTATGAGATCAATTGAGTATGTTATTGCAAGAGTAGTGAAAGAAATATCTTTAAAAGTTGCTAAAAAACACACATTCCACACCACTTCAATCACAAAAACTAAATATACTCTACAATGCATAATATAACATGGCGTTGAATCTCGTGTAGAAAGCCACCGATCAAAAAACAACGAAATTAGTATTTATCTAGTTAGCTTGAAGAATTGCACTGAAATTTCAATTTTTTAAAACATTCTATCCCGAACCCTAACCAGATAATTACTATATTTTTTTTGAACGTGACGGGAGTGTATTCCCACATCTCAGTTTAGCATTACTGCCGGGGGCTTTCTACAAAAATTCTATTTGCGTTTTTTTTTTTCGATTCAGCGTAAATCTGAAATACACAACTTGTGGGTTAAATTTCTTCACACTCTTCCATTGCAATTATATACGTCAAATGGCATCGAATAATGGCGATGACGTTGTTGAAAATTTACTTCAATGTGCGGTGTGTATGGAGTCATACGAAGAATCCGGAACCCAGACACCCAAAATGCTGCCATGTCAGCATTCATTTTGCGTTCAATGTTTGAAAAATATTTCCAGAGCGGGAAGGTAATTTTAATTATTATATCGTTTGTGATGATGGACTTTTTGTTTGGCTTTCATAACGTCATCAATGTACATGTTTATATCTCGGACTATCATGTCATAGATCAATTTAATCTTGAATACCATGGTTTGTGATGATGGGAAAATGACATATGAGCTTTATCAGAGAATATATGTTTACATTTCAGATCAAAATAGGTCGGATTTACTTTTAAGCCATTGATTTGTTATGCCACAATACTAATTTAAATCTAATTGTCTTTTGCGCGTAAATACAAGATGCATTACCATTCAAAATGTCTTTTTTGAGATCCGAAATCATCGTACATTTTTATTGCAAAAGACATTTTTTTGCATCGTCGACGCAAACTTTTATTTAATTTAGATTATCCGTTTCCTGAGTACACTTGTATGGTAATTTTTGAAGAGCACTCATGGTTCCTATTTTTGAGCGGTCAAAATATTTTGCACGGTCCTTCAACAAATGTTATAATTTTTTTGTTTTCGATAGTAGTATCGGTACATAAGGGTTCAGTAATAAGAAAGAAGTACTAGTCAAGAACATGCTGCTTATTTTTGGTAACTTGTAAATATGTTTATCAAACAGTGTTAAGAATGAAATTTATTTATTCATATTGGTATTGTCTGTTTCTTGTGTAATAGACCAACTAAACACTGATGAAAACTAATGAAAGAAAATATCGTAAATATCAAGTTCTACGTTACGTGTTATGTTTGTTGCATATGAAACTTGAATTAAATAGTCGTCTGCACCAAACATTCATTTTCTAACTTCGCTTTCCTTCGTTTGTTTTTTAATCTATTACTCTCGTTTGGGTCACTATCTCTAACATTTAGATATCAACAGTCTGACTGGAAATATTTATATTTATAGTATTTTCTCATATTAACACTTTATTTGCAGAAAACAGTGTCCAAGTTGTCGTGAACAATTCTCTATACCTGTTGATGAACTTTCCAGAAGTCTCGTTCTTATTCAGCTACTGGACACTAGAGGGTCATCACCAGGAAGACATAATGTAAGAGTAATAACTCGTTTATTTTCCTTTGAAATATGGAATAAACAAAAGGTTTCGCAAACAAAAAAACGATCTATAAAAAAGACTCAAGAAAGATATCAAGAAAACTAACTCGGTCGAGAACTTTCAGGAACAGATATCGTTTATGTGTTGTTTGTTAAAGTCTTGTATGAAGTCCTACTATCTTTAGTCTAACTAATATGATACTATAATTAAGATTTGATTTTTTAAATAAATATTCAACAACCAAACGTCAATTCTACAATATAAAAATCTAGATTTTTTGGTTTAGGATTTGAATAGATGTTTTTATATTCAGGTAACTGATGCAAGTCTGCTCAAGGAAAAATTTCGTGACTTCGACAAAGCAAAGGAGTATTTGTCGAAACTTACAGAAAAAATATTGAGGATAAAAATGTTCAACTTAGAAGAAATTGAGGTTTGGAATAGTTTTAGGAAAATTCACGATCAGTATGTTTCAAAATTTATTACGATTACATCTGAAAACATAAGCATGATAGTACCGATATGTATTTTACAATTATGGAGTGGAATTATACTTTTCTAAATAGCAAACGTCCTTCATATAGACATAGTTTTTAATTATCTCAATATGAACGAATATGCATATCAGTAGGGTGACTCGGTATTGGCATAGATCTAGGGCCCGCCCGATTTACCATTAGAGTGAAGCCTGAGGACCTCAAGCCTTGAGGACCTCGACATTAAGTTTTGACCAATTGATTATTATCTATTATAAGTCATTTTCAAATTTTGCAATTTATCCGACTTAAACTTTCGTTTTCGTTTAAATTTCATTGAATTTGCAAATCCCAATTCTTTATTAAAAAATAAACCAATTTAAAGTAGTTGAACAAATGTTACTCTGAAAATGCTTTCATTGTTTGAGAAAGATAATAGAATATCGATATCAATAGAAATGGAATGGTAATTAATTTTATTTATCAGTAATGTATTCTTTCTCAATAAATGAGCAATACCTCCCCCACCTCTCGCGACTGCAAACGTGTATTATGACGTCTGGTTTTCTGTTACCGTTAGGTTTTATTACAGCCTTTAGTTTCATCCGGCGCGCGAGAAGATTTCTAAAATTAGAAACTTTTTTTCATTTACAAATAAAATGTTATTTAACCGTAAACTTCATTATTGTAATAAAAATCAGTGTTTTGGTAGCGATGTATCATAGACCAGTGGTTCCCAAAGTGTGGGTCTCGCCCCAAATAAGGAGATCGTGAGAGGGCTTTGCCGGGTTGCCGAACTTTCGCTGAACATGCAATACGGCGCACACAAGTCACATCATTTTGAAGTGAAATTTGTGCTGGTAGGGTGAATGTGATTGAGTGATCATGTTGCGAACGCCAATGATATTTCCATGGTTATAATTTTTTGTGTACTCCCGTAGTATGTGTTAGGTTTCATGGTTAGGGCATCATTTTATTCCGATTTTCGGTATTTTAGGTCTATTACGAGTTTGGGGACCGTCTGTGTTATCCTACTAAATATCCCCTGTACATAGGTTTCAGTCCCTTTACAAAACTTGATGTAAAATGTGCGAACAAAATTAGCTACCTCAAATTGGTACACATACTTCTGGAGGGCCATTTTTGTGTATATTACATTCAAATCTGGCAACCTTATTTCCTTGAATACCTGTATTGTAAACTATATCAATTGTTGATTAGTTCGATTCCTATAGATTTCTAGTCTTAAATTCAGATGAATTGGACAAATGAATTAATAATGCATCGTTTAACCATACCATATTCGTGGGCTTGTCTAGGTTTGGTGAGTCACGAGCCTGAATGGCACTTTGCATCAGGAAGTTGCAATGACTCATGTTATCTTCTTTGGTTTTAGAATGATGTAGGTCAGCGCAAATAGAGGCAATGAAACACAGCGTAATGTAAATTGACTTTACTTGGTCCGACTCGCCATTGAATTTTAATTTTTGATGTGCCCCCATAGCAAAAATTATTGCTCAGTTCCGACCTAAGATCTCTCACTCATCGTTATAATCCGGCCCTGCTTAGATCGGTAATGGTGACTGGGATGTGAATACCTATTTCATATGGTTGATTATGGTAATGCCAGGTTGCACCATTTTAAATGACAAATGTGGTCTAACCTGTGAGTTACGACCCGCATCTGGGTCGCCTAGAATTTCTCTTGGGTTGCTTGTTATTAAATCAAAAACCTCAAAGCCATCGATTTTCAAATATTACTGAGTGTTGCTCAGTAGAAAGTATCGCCACGCAAAAACTTGGCAGCATAAATTTTGCCCAAAGTAAACACACGCAAGGATTTTAAAATTTCGCATTCTCGCTTTGAAGTAATATCCGGTAGAATAAATATTATGTGAAAATGATTGTTTTGTATTAGTTAATAAATTTTGCGGCCATAGAATGACAACATGTCGATACATTATTTTTAAAAAAGTCTCCTAAAGAAGTAGGAATTACGAAACTACCATGGCTATATTTTCCTTGGTGTTGCAAGATTTAATTCAATACACTTTAGTAATATAAATTCATATTTTGTATGCGTTAGGCGGCGCTCAATTGCATTCAATACTACAGAATACCAAGCGACGACAGAAGCCGCTCAATTCAAATTACAGCCACGAAGTTTGTGATGTATTCAATTTCATTTGGCGGTGGAGCAGTGACAGTACATTTGCTTTCCGAAGTAAATATACCTATTTGAATATATACATTGATATGGGCTTTATTAAAGCAAGTGTGCTGAAACAGCAGTTAATTTTATCTTAGTCCTAAAATTTTACTTTTGATAGGTTGCTACTGAACTGATAAAAACTATGGAAGCCTTCAAAGACGATAAACTATCTTCCGAGGTATTGCTCTTATGCCTGACAATTTTGGCTTTACCCGCTATGATGAGTAAATCGGTAAGATGTATTATATTCACGCTGGTCCCATGCGTTGCCCCATTCCTTTCTTTTTTATTGTACCGTGCCACGCACAAATTTTCTAATCTATTTTACAGTTTTGTGTATTGATAGCTGGAATATTTGAACCGTTTGTTGCAACATAACTTAAAAGCGTCTCAAACATAAAAAATACGCTTAAATATGTGACAGCTAAAGTGTATATCATGTTTTATTATTTAGTTACATTAATTAATCGGCGCACAACCTGAACCGTAACCTAGTACACATACTATGTTCAGGTTGTGCGCCATCTTGGTACACATACTTCGGGAGCACTAATTAATCTTTGGAACACCAAGTCTGTCAAAATATATTTCATTGTGATGGTATCTGTGTTATCGCAAAAACTAATAATGTTTAGATTAATGCGATTCGGCGATTATGGGCTTTCTAGATATTTGTGTTTAGGGCTTCAATAACCTGGATTTGGCTCATCTGCTGATGACAATTCTAACTACAAATCAAAATTCGGAATTAGAACAGAAGATTGTGGAATTTCTACCTGACATATCCCGAAAACTGTCTCGATCAGATAACGCCAATATCGGTAACAGAAAATATGTAAAGGTATTTTTTTATTAAATCTGTGTAAATGTTTGCTAAAATGTTAAATATTCCGTTTATGTTCATTAATATCAAACTGACTGAAATATAATAAAGATATACTCTGATTGCTTTTTATGTGTTTCATTAGAATAGGATGATTTGATTAACCATGAATTTCATTTGAATAATTAATTTTCGTCTAGAATCTGTTATCAATTTTGAGGAAAAAAATGAGCATGAAGTTACGAGATGCAACGTTTTATAATCTGCTTTCATTGTTAATGTGCTTAACAGACGAAACTCCCTCAACATGCACAAATATTGTTAATGCAGGAGGGCTAGCAATTTTTGCCGAATTGCTTGAGGTATGACTTTACCTATATATAAAGGGATATTAGGAATTTTACTAAAAGTAGAAGCGAAGAAACAAGTTTATACTGTACGTAAATCATCTTGTTAAGAATATATTATGTTCAGTGACTTCCCTACACCCCCCTAAAATTTCAAACACCCCCTCCCCCTAATTTTTAGGTATGCGCCATACTTTAATTCTTAACCTTAACGTAAATAGAAATGTATTTATATATTTAAAAGAGGCTCATATTCCGGGGAAGATGATCAGACAAACACATACCACATTTTTATAAGTTACAAATAGTTTTATCTCTCATAACAAAATATCTACCGCTCCTAACATTAAAAACACCCCACCTTAAATTAAGAAGTAGGGGGACATACTGTACTGAATAAGTTGGTCATGGCAAACCAACAAGATCTTGGTATTTTCAAAAACTTATTCATATTCAAATAATGTAACTTTTAATATTTCCAAGATGTTTTTGTTCAACAAATTTTCGACAATTGTACAACATTCATTTGTGAAATATTTCCAGAATCCCTACCTTGATATGAGGTAACAGAATCGACACAGAGCCTTGGCAGATAAGTTTGATTGCTGGATTAGTTGAAATATACGTAGCATTCGATCCTATAACTTTATTTGTTTAATCTGAATGTTTCACTTTATAAACTGCTTGCGTTTTATTTGTACAGGATAAAGACATCAACCTTATCAAAGAAGTTCTCATTAATTTGGTAATGCATTGAATATTATTTTATTCTCTTATCAATCTTATCTCAATTATTTAATGTGTTTATTAGTTTATGTGATAGGGTAATCATTAAAATATACCTTAGTTTGCTTAGTTGTATATCGTACATTTTATGCAATATCTAAAACAAGTTGATTACCACGATAAAAGCTATACAGTGTAATTAATTTAGAGCAATTTGACGGAGGTACCTGAAATATGCTACCACTTCTTAGACGGCAACTCCGGTGCAGTCGATTGTCTACTAAAACTTTTGATTTCAGATGAATTGCATGTGAGTAAATATTGGTTATGAACGGTGGGTGCAACCTGGGGCCCCCAAAAAAAATTCCGCGGCCCACGGAAAAGTTGAACGATGCGCGGCCCGCGAAACCAGTTTTGATACAGGGTCCAATTCATTATCTATACATACGACTTCACAATGCCTTAACAGCTAGCTCGTGCAATTAACGCGTGTAACAAGATCCATAACTAAGATTTTTGTGTCTGCAACTACTAAATAGCCTATATATTAAATAAAGGAGCGGTTTCACCCAGTTATTTTTATCTGGCCCTTCTGTATTGAATGTTGCACACCTCTGGTCTATAACATTCAAATTATATTGTTACAGCATTACAAATTATATTGTTTATTTGACAGATTAGCTACTGTGCCGCTGCAGTCATCTCGCGTTTGCTAACAATCGACTTCAAAGAATGGGAAAAACTCACGAAGTCGCCTAACCTAAGAAATAGGGCACTGATAAATATGGTAAATTATATAAATAATTATTTAAATAAATAGATAGCGATCGGAGACCGCCGACTTATCGATCTTCCGCATGTTACAATCGTTCGCAGCGACGAAACGTAGGAGATCCCCCAAAACAAAAACTGCGGTTTTGATTCCTTCGCTCTGACTCAATAGCGACACCGCGTGTCCCATCACTAACTAATTAATAAATCGCTAATTATACGACATAATTCATCCAAATCAATAGGCTTCGATATGATGAATGCAGGTGCAAAATTGGAGCAGATTCAACCTCGCTTTCGTGAGATATCGTGTAACATACGAAAGTGTCAAATATATAGACAGAAAAATATCTATCAACATACTTACCGATCGAGATCGATAAGTAATAAACCAATATTGCCTGGTTTATTAATGTTTCAGCGTGCATTCGACATGTCAAGATGTCATGTTAATTGTTTTCTTTGTCTTAATGTTTAAAACTTAAGAAAGATAAAATACCACGATAAATCTGTTTCTGCAGTATAATTGCGTGATGAAATGGGGTCAAGAAGCATCCTTAATATGTTTCCATATCAAGTTCATATCATTCAAGCCATTCTATTCACTCCTTCAAAAATACGACGCGCCACCACTTCAACTATTTGCTGTTTGGACCATATGGAAGTTTTGTTCGTATTCATGTAAGTGTAGGCTTTTTCACATTTCTTGTGAAGTTTTAAATGTGACTCATTGATTTCTTGTACTTTGTACAGTATCTACAATATCAATATCTGTCACTATGTGTGCATTTCTACAACTATTTCATTTATTTTTTATATGACATAATAATATTTCAGCTGAAATATACCAAGAAATGCTGATCAAAGAGCAAGGTATCGACTATCTTCTTGAACTGAAACAAAATCTCTACGTGGATAAAAATGTCAAAAAGTTTGCGGAACTCACCCTGAAGTTGATTCACTAATTTGAAAAAATAATTCAATAAGTAAACATAAAAAATAAGTACTTTGTGACTTGTAAACGCCCGTTGAATAATTCTATATTAATCAGCAATGGTTTTCAATTTTTTTGACAGAAATGCCAATAAAATATTTCAAGCGCGCGATGAACCCATGTATAATAATTTAATTGTCTTTTATTGTCTGAATTGTATAAAATATAAATATATATGAACCTAATACTAGCAAAAATTGATCTGTAAAGTGTAGCAAGTTTAATAAAAGTGGCAAACATAATAGGTATCTGGTTAAAGGTGTACAATATACATATATTATAATACACTATTGATTTTAAATGTAAACTTGCGCACACCGGGTGATACTGGCGAAGCACTGGTTGAAAACCACTGATGTACAGTGATGAAAGTTGAAAATATTTGTTTAAAACATAACTTTCTCTGAATTCTCTTCTATGCATAACCGATTATACAATTATGTACAATAACGCAATTAAAAGTTCATGTAGATTCAAAACTTAATTCGTGTACTCGAATTTATCTGAGAAAATTTTATTTTGAATTCATGTAGAATTTCTCTTACGTGGCCTATGATTGACGATACTAAGCGATGGCGAAAGTACCTTATTTTATTGTAATTTATTTTAACTGTAAGTTAGTTGTTTCATATACTGGCATTCCATATACTGGCAATTGCCTGATTGAGCTGACTAATGTAAATAACAACTAATTGATTGAAAAATGTTTTGTCTCGTTAAGTGTTGTAGGAATTTTATCTTGTTGGAGTGTAAGTTGGGTTACACATCCTCGTCCCATGTTGCCGACTAATCACGCAGACATGTGGATACTTAATTATTGTTATTAGCGTATTCGAACGTACATTTTGTCGTCAAACAGATGATATTGCTTCACTTTCGAGTTTAGACAGACCCAGACATAGAGCGCAAGATTGCGAGTTCGTTTTGTGACATAAAGTTTTGCAAACATAAACTCTACTAGCAACAAAAATATTTTTTGGGGGGATGTTCTAATAGAATTATAATAAATAAATAATATAAACATTTGATATTTAACCCGTCAGGAATCATCCAAGTTTTAACAACAGCAAAGACATTCTTTGTATACAAATGACTGTGGCTGACAACAGAGCCGTGAGAAACCAGTCCAGTAATATCTGCACTGACAGACAGTGCAAACAGCACATCAAAAAATGTGAATGCGGAGCTTGTAATCCCGCGTTTCCCAACCTTTTTTGGTCGCGGACTATTTTCTCGCCGGCAAAAACCTTTGCGGACTCAAGGTGCGGTTACTGCAACCGCACTCTGTGTGAAGCAAAGCAATAAAACCAAACACAACAGAACTTCAACAAATTTCACAATCGGAAATTCGTCGCAATTACGCGTTCGATAAAAGAGCCGACTTTTTAAGTTTATGGTGGCCTTTTGTGTCGCACAATATTCAATCCATGACAACGACGAGAATTTAAAATGTCTTTCTATTTTAATTTGTGCTCACGGTAACTCGCGGCTGTGTCGACTTTCGAAAAGATGGAAGCATTGCTTCTTTGAAATGCCACGGCAATCTGCAAACATAATAAAGTAAGAATATATTGCACGATTATATTTTTTGCGATCTTGCGAATTTGTTATCGCCGTTAGAAAAATCATACTATCTGCTATAAATTTCCAGAAAGTACAACTAGATTTAGTACTTATTAAAAATATATTCAAAAGTATATTAGTAAATCAAAAACTGTTGACAAAATAAAAGCAATACTACTCAGAAAAAATCATGACAATCCGTGGACACAAAAATGCTTAGTAAAGTGCCCGGTTAAATTTTGTTTTGATTCGTATTTTGTGAATTCGACAAATCTGAGCTGCTCGTAGAACACTTACGGCGCACCCTTCAGTACTGTACGTACCAATGTGGAGGCAGTAAAGCAAAGAATCCTAAGGGGAAATGCCCTGGTACGTATACCACGGTAGCACCCGAAATTTTGCGATTTGAAATGTCTACAAAGCGTTTTTAATCGGTCGCGGAGCATCATAAAATAAAACTTATGGTGTTCTCCGTTTTATTTTTAGTATATATTTTGTATTGCCTCTTTCCAATTTAGAAAATTTGGGTTGCCACCATTGGCACCTACCAGAATAAAAAAAATTATTTCTCCGTGCTCGAACACTACTTAGGTATCTGTCGACGTGTGTGCCGACTCGTGTTTTCTTCGAAATCCGCAACTGAGTTACTGTGAAATCCAATCGTTTGACTAAACGACGCGCAAGTGACCTGTCGCGTCAGGTGTTACCAAATTTTCGAATTGTAAATTGCTATTCTAATAGTTGAATATTCGAATATATATATGACCAGCCCTACTCAGTAACCAGTAATTATTGACTCGATTAATGTTATGTGAATAAACTTGCTTCTTATGTTTCATGTAAATTCTAACGTAAATCGTAACTTGGCTGATAGTTATTTAAGGTACGCAAAAACGTTTGCGCCTGCAGTGAATTTCTGGCTCGTTGCGGTCTCATTCAAACGCTCCGCGGACTCATTTGAGACCGCGGACTCGGGTTGGGAAACACTATTCTAATCTAAAACATAAGTAATGGCTCATCTCATGGTGCTTTGTTTGCTATTTGTAAGTTTAAATACAAATGCTTCAGTGATAAATACAATTGCAGAAATAGCGCGTGATTGCCACCAGGTATATTCATTTCGATAGTGAATGCAGCACAAACCGATGTCTATTGTCATATTTTCGTGTTTTTAAATTTCATGACGTGATAATTTTTCTTTCTTTTTCCTATATATATATATATATATATACAATAGTGTGCTTTCCATATCATGTCATGGTGAAGTTTTTCTGAATAGAAGTTCGAGACGTCGCAAATTGAATCGTTTTGCTAACACCGGTTGTGCTTTATTTATTTATCATCGATACAATTGCAGAAGATGACGCTTTGTTTGTTGCTAATCCAATTGCATGATTTAAATACAAATGTTGCAGAAATAACAAACCTTTCATCAAATACAAAAGAAGTTGAACAATAAAGAAACTAGAATATCGGTCAGAAACCGAAGACTTATCGATCGAAGGTTACGGATCCCCAAAACAGTGGCCTTACTTCATAGCGACACTGTGTGTCCGATCACTAAATAATTATAAGACATAATCCATCCAATATCAATAGGCTTCTGATCCGAGCTATGATAAATGCACAAGCAAAATTTGGAGCAGATTCAACCTCGATTTTGTGAGATATCGCGTGAATATAACAGACAAACAAACAAACAAACAAACAGACAAATACCTATCAACATTCTAAATATGTAAACGGAATATTCAGTATAGGTGTTATTAATGCAAAAGCCGCTAACGAGATTTGAATTCGGGACTCTCCGAATTAATTTCGAACGCGCCATTGAACTTGTGAAATTGAAAACCGAGACATCTGGATTCGTTGCAAATTTCCATCGACAACGCCACCGCAAGGCTACATGATGAATGTATTTAATTGAAAGCCATGAGACAACTGGGATTGAACCAGGGACCTCCCGACCTGGGGGTCGAGCGCTCTACCACTGAGCTATGCCCCGCGCCTAACCTCGATGGAATTTTAATAAATATTGATTTTCCGTTTGCAATTCAGATTTAGATTATATTTCAGATTATAAGAAGTTGTACTTAAAGGAAGCTCTCATCTGACTCCTAATTTTTGATGACTTATTTATAAGTATATTAGATTTTTATTATCATTATTATTGTCAGTATCAACTTCAGAAAAAACACAGGCGATATACTATACATCGAATTACTGTCAATATTGATTTACGAAGAGAAAGATTGATTGTATCTAATTGTTGGCGTGATTAAAATAATTTGAATGGGCCACTTTATTTACAAAAGTGAAAGCAGGACCCCAGAAAGGAGGAACTCCGTGATCTCCAACATGAGAACATGACGACCTTGTTCGTTGACTTCTGCAGATGCATGAAGAGTAAATTTAGTCATGATGCTGAAAAAGGATCGATGCTTGGCAGTAAAACATTTTTAATATTGAAGGAGTTAACTTGAATGTTTTGTTCCTTTATTTTCTGACTCCTTATAAAAGTATATAATCCAGATATGATTATATATAAGATAAAGTAAGCAAGTCGGTCATCGTGTAGAATTCAAATTGAAATTTTACATTTTTGTGTCAGCATTCGTCTACCAGAAACGAGAGCTAAACTATACAGTAACATTTACGACAGTTACAACTCCAAAATGATATTGATAAAGTTGCGATGAATATTCATAAACATAACTCGGTTTAAGGCAAACAATAGTTGTAGTTGAGCTATATAAGATAACATTCAGACAAATATTCATTCGGTAAAAGAGAATATGCTGACAAAATTGTTATTCCACCTTGAGCGTATATTTTCCCATTTTAAACTCCGCGTAGTATGCTTTATATGCAGCCCATTAATTGTCAACTCCATATCCGGTAAAGGGGCGTATACAGTTAACCAAGTAAACTTCCTCGTTGTATGGCTGAAGATACCGTACAACACTATGTGAGATTGTAGCTTCATAATTTTTGCGACTAAAGTTCAGCTTACAGCTTATCAAGTTTAAAATGAGGTTGGAAAATTACAGGCATATCAGAAATAAAGCCGACACTTAATGTTGGATGGCCAAGATTTAAATATAAAATAACAGAAAGTAATTGGCATTTGTCAGTCATCTTTTGGATTAGCATATGATTTTCATATTTCAAGCTCAGGTCGCATATAGAAATAAAAAATAATGTCTAGTATGAAAAAATTCTTTTCATGAGATTAACTGAGTATGTTATTGCAAGAGTATAGTTAAAGAAATATCTTTGAAAGTTGCGTAATAAACACAATCTACCCCACTTTTATCGGAAAAACTAAATATACTCAAAAGTGTATAAAATAACATGATGTCGGATCTCATGTGAAAAGCCCCATAAAACACCACATGAAACACCCCGGCCACCGCTCCAAATAAAAAGAAATTATTCTGTTAGGGTTATGATAAGAAATACAGACTGCGCAAACTTAAATTTTCAAATCACTTCTAACCAGATACTTACTTAATAATTGATACTAATTTTTTTATTTTAAAACGTGGCGGGCTTGTTTTCCCCAAATTTCACAGCTTTGCATTACTCGTGGGGGCTTTCTACAAAATATCCCTAGTTGTTTTCTTGATATCTATTTTCGTTTTTTTTTCTGTTCAGCGTAAATCTGAATCACTGAATTACGTAACGTGTTTGTTAAATGACCTTACAATCTTCTATTGGTAATATACACGTCTGGTAATGGCGTCGAATAGTGGCGATGACATTGTTGAAAATTTACTGCAATGTGCGGTGTGCATGGAGTCATATGAAGAATCCGGACGCCAGACACCCAAAATGCTTCCGTGCCAGCATTCTTTTTGCGTTGAATGTTTGGAAATTATTTCCAGATTCGGAAGGTATTTTTGTATATTATATCGTTTGTGATATTGGACTTTTTTCGTTGGGTATATCAAACGTATATGAATATATATACATATTTATATCTCGTGCTAAAACAGGTCATAGACAGCTATAGCTCATTTAAACCCTGAATTAGTAATGTCATGATTTGAAATGATGAGTATATGAGCTTTATCAAAGTATATATGTTTATATTTTAGCCCTGAATTAGTTAATCCAAGCTACTAATATAAATCTAATTGTCTGACTGTATTTTGTGCGTAAATACTAGATGCATTATACTTCGAAATGTTTTTTTATCAGATCCTAAATTACCATTTTATTGCAAAATGTAACAATCGGGGTCAATTTGATGTTATTTTCATCGATATTTTCATAGGAAATTCATAAAAACTGTAGTCAAACCGGATGAACAATTCGCTGGGTCGGTTTCGGCCCGTGGGTCCTATTTTGCCGGCTAAATTTTCTGATCTTGCTTGCCTGCGTTTATTCTTCAGATTCTCGTTTAGATTTCTATTTACAACATATGGATATCTACAGGCTGACTGGGAAATATTTAATTGGGTCACTGATATTAACACTTTATTTACAGAATACAGTGTCCAAGTTGTCGTGAACAATTCTCCACATCTGTTGATGAACTTTCCAGAAGTCTCGTTCTTATTCAGCTATTGGACACCAGAGGGTCATCACCTAGAAGAAACAATGTACGACTAATAACCCGCTTATTTTTTTCAAATATGGCACTAAACGAAAAGTTTTGCAAAAACACCAACTAAGTCGAGAAAGCCTAAGAACAGATGTCGTTTATGTGTTGTTTGTTAAAGTCTTTCTATTTTCAACATAACCATTAATGCTAATTACTATCTTTGGTCTACTAACCAATATGTTTCTATAGGTTTTTAGATAAATATTCAAAAATCAAACTGTTTCTAGTTCTTGTCTAAAATGCAAATTGATGTTTTTATATTTAGGTAACTGATGCGAATCTTTCAATTCTGCTCAAAGAAAAATTTCGTGACCCCGACAACGCAAAAGAGTATTTATCCAAACTTATTGAAAAAATATTGAGGGTGAAAAAGTTCAACTTAGAAGAAATTGAGGCATGGGATATTTTTCTAAAATCTTACGAATATTATGTTTTAAAATAATTTAGTTTCTTGGAGTGTTTTCAAATTCGACTACGATAAAATCTATCTGGGTGATTTGATCATCGTACGTATCTTGTTTGTAACTAAAATTACCTTTATTACGTCATAATTATTTACAACTGTAATAGGTCCATTACGACGTCAACAATCCATAGGCGAATTACGTACCCAATTGGTGGTGGTGAGGCATGCAGTAGTGTAGTAATTGTGATTGAGTGACCATGTTGCGAACGCCAATAATATTTCCCTGCTTATTATTTCTGTGTACATTACATTCGAAACTGGCAACCTTATTTCCGCGAGTACCTGTGTCGTAAACCATGTTAATTTCTAGAGATGACTCAAAGGTGGAGGAGTCGATATATGACTTGGAAGTTGTATCGTTTAACCATATTTGTGGGCTTGTCTAGGTTTGGTGAGTCACGAGCCCGAATGAAACTTTACATCAGGAAGTTGCCATGACTCATGTTACCTTCTTCGATTTTAGAATAATGTAGATCAGCTCAAATAAAGGCCAGGAAACACAGCGCAATGTAAATTGACATAACCTAATCATTGCAAAAACAAGAGAGCTGCGCTCAAATATATGGACACGTAGCTCTCAAATTCACTGTGGTACGGTACGGTAACTTACCAACTCGCTTGATCACGTAACCGTGATGCGTTGATATGTGTTCGCGGAATCCCCACGTGGTGGCAAATTTTATTGACGTCATACCTCAAAAGTAATGAATCCCATCAAGCCCATAGGAATATTTGAAGTTAATAAAAGTAATAGCCTTCTAGAAAAAATGCCATCTTTAACCACTAAAAGTTTCAAGGCAATTGGTCCAGTAATCAAAGAGAATATGCAATTCTTTTAAATATTGCTTCTAAATTATTTCCTTGTGGTAGTTGTTGAGTTCGGAGTTGGCGGATCCATTCAGATACAGAAGTCAGGGGAAAAGGTTAATATAACTATCAGTAGAGTTGCGCGAGACTAACTCCCAATCCTTTCCTAATGCCTTTGCGCTAGTGGATCCGTATGCATGTAACGCAAGGATGCTGTAGCAGGAATAAAATACAACTGTAAAACTTCTTGTCTGGGGAAGTCTGATTTTGGTCAGACGAGTCGTTACACGCATACGGATCTACCAGCGCAAAAGGATTGGGAGTTTGTCTCGCGCACCTCTACTAATAATCAAAGAGAAAAGCGACTTTTTCATAACGATGAAATTCTGCGTCAAAGGGCAACAACAACAACAACATACTAATAATAACAAAACGATCGCTATGTCCACTAACGTGTCCAATAAGGACGCAGTCCTGACCTGACGTCTCTCATCGTCATAATCAAGCCCTGCTTAGATCGATAATGGTGAATGGGATGTGAATACCTACTTCATATGATGATTATGGTAAAATATTGCCAGCTTGCACAGTTGCACTGTTTCACCCTGGCTAAGATTCAATCCAATACACTTTAATACATTAACTTAATAATTTGATTGTATATTTTTAGGCGGTGCTCAATTGCATTCAATACTACAGAATACCAAGTGACAAAAGTCGCTCAATTCAAATTATAGCCACGAAGTTTGTGATGTATTCAATTTCATTTGGCGGTGGAGCAGTGACAGTACATTTGCTTTCCGAAGTAAATATACGTACTTAAATATACATTGATGTAGGCTTTTGCATACCAAGTTTGCTGAAACAGCAGTTAATTTTATCTTAGTCCTAAAAATTCACTTTTGATAGGTTGCTACTGAGCTGATAAAAACTATGGAAGTCTTCAAAGACGATAAACTCTCTTCCGAGGTATTGCTCTTATGCCTGGCAGTTTTGGCTTTACCCGCTATGATGAATAAATCGGTAAGATGTAATATATTCACGTTGGTCCCATGGCTTTCTTTTTTATTGTACCGTGTCAAGCACAATTTTTCTAATCTATTTTGCAGTTTTGTGTAGTGATCGCTAGAATATTTGAAACGTTTGTTGCAACTTGCAACCTAAACTTAAAGGCGTCTCAAACATAAAAAAATACGCGTAAATATGTGACAGTTGAAGTGTATATCCTTTGTTTTATTATTTAGTAACATCAATTAATCTTTGGAACACCAATTCTGTCAAAATCGATTTTATTTTGATGGTCCCTGTGTTATCGCACAAACTAATAATGTTCAGATTGATGTGATTCGGTGATTACGGGCTTTCCAGCTATTTTTGTGTTTAGAGCTTCAGTAACCTGGATTTAGCTCATCTGCTGATGACAATTTTGACTACAAATCAAAATTCGGGAATAGAAAGAAAGTTTGTGGAATTTCTAACTAACATACCAAGAAAACTGTCTCGATCAGATAACGCTATTATCGGGAACAGAAAATATGTGGAGGTAAATTGGTTTTTTAAAAATTTGTTTAAATGTTTGCTAAAACGTTAAGTATTCCGACTATGTTCATTACTATGAAACTGACTAATATATAATAAAGATAAAAATATACTCTGATTGTATTTTGTGCGTTTCATTAGAATATAATGATTGCATCAACGTAGAACTTTGTTGGAATAAATTACTTCTATCTAGAATCTGTTATCAATTTTGAGGAAGAAAACGAACACCAGTTCACGAGACGCAACGTTTTATAATCTGCTGGCACTGTTGACGAGCCTAACAGATGAAACTCCCTCAACATGCACCAATATTGTTAATGCAGGGGGGCTAAGAATTTTCGCTGAACTGCTCGAGGTAGGTCTTAAAATAGTATTGGGTGCCACGACAACTGGAAGCAGAGAGTGAAAAATTAAAATGTTTATACTGAAAATAGATCATCTCGTTCGGCCATAATATGTTGGTCATGCTGTACCAACGAGATTCAGCTATTTTTGAAAACTGAGTCAAATTATAAAAAAAAACATATACTTGTAAATACATACAAAAACAGTATGGTTTCTTCAATTATATTTTTTAAACTGCAACACATACTCAAAATGTTTTATTTTGATGAATCACCAACATCCATTCATTTATTGAATATTTTCAGAATTCTTTGATTTTGATTTTGAGTAACAGAACCGATACAACTGCTCCTTTTCAGATTCGTTAGACTGCTTTAACAGCTGAAATATAGTTAGTCCGAGCGTTGATGTGTATAATGTATGTATATTTCATTTGATCCTAGATTTATATTTGTATAATTCGATTGTTGTACTTTAATAACTACTTGTCTCGTTTTGACAGGATAACGATCCCAGATCAAATAAAGGTGTTCTCATGAATTTGGTAATGCATTAAATATTAATTTATTCTTCAACTATCATTATCTCGACCATTGGTGGGATTCAAATTTTTTGTCAGCCGGTTTCCATCACAAAAGTCTTTTTCAGCCGCTTCTGTTACAAAAAGTCATATTATTTTAGCAAATAAACTGATTAATGCCAACCGGTTCGCTGATCCCATTAAATTCCGTGAGTTGGTTCTATAGAACCGGTGCGAACCGGCTGAATCCCACCACTGATCTCGACCATATATAATGTGTAAATATAATCTGCCCTGGCGGACCCTTACGTTGAGATTTTCATTTAATTTGATAGAGTAATATTTGGAATATACCATTGTTTGCTTAGTTGTATATCGTACATTTTATGCAATATCTAAAACAAGATAATTACCATGATAAAAGCTATGCAGTGCATTTAACTTAGGACAATTTGACGGAGGTACCAGAAATTTGCTACCACTTCTTGAACGGCAACTCCGGTGCAGTGGAGTGTCTACTAAAATTTCTGAATTCAGATGAAATACATGTGAGTAAATTATTGCTTATACGGGGGTGGGCAACCTTTTTCGGCTCGCGTGCCAAAATCGGGTAAATTTAACGACAAAATTCTTTCGCGTGCCGACAAAAATTAAAACAACTATTTGCTAATTTCAAAGCAAAAATACACATAAATAAACCTTATAAACATGTACAGATAGCTTCACTATTTAGAAAAATATCATTCCAACAATTAGATTTGATTACTTTTCTTATTCTATATCAGTCAGACTTCCGCTGCTGCATTACCGCTGATAGAGATTTTACATTGGGTTTATGTTTTGTAACTTTAAAGAAAATACCTGAACTACTTTCGGGCTACTCCTGTTAGAAGACTTAATTAAGTACATAACTGAGAACAGAGATTCACAAGCATAATGTAGATGAAAACATGGAGAGTAATGCAGTTGTAAAGTTTTCAACACATGAAATTTTTCGGGAATGTCATCCCAATCACGAAATAGTCCGTTTTCTGCACTTCTCTCTTGCATTCTCTTCCCTAATCGCTTATATTTCTTTCGAAATCAAGTGTTATAACTGTAAGTTAGCAAGTAATACTAACCAAAATGATCTGTACAACTTCATAAATCAAACAGAAGTGAAGAAAAGGGTGGCACAGTCTGACTATATTATGTAATATAGTAGCCAAATGAATGCTGCGCTCTTTCCGACCAAATTTCTGGAGAGCCTACTCATTTGTTACTTCATAATGTATTTTTGGTAATCACATGTCATGATAGTACAAAAATAGTTTAAATAAATAACGGATTGTTAACAAACGATAATGAATAAACGTACACCTAATTTCATCAGATAATTGAAGGGTCTTGAAACTTTTTATCTGAAGGTGAATGATCTCGTTTGCCTCGCTCGCGTGCCGAATAAATGGGCTCGCGTGCCAAGTTTGTCACGCGTGCCAATTATGGTTTCAGAGGTAATGTAAGCAAACTACTAGCTAATTACCTGAGTGGTCGTTTTCAATTTGTTGAATTAGGTTCTCATAAGTCCCCAATGTTGCCCATTCAGTGCGGAATTGTCCAGGGTTCAATTATCGGGCCTTTGGCTTTTTTACTCTCTGTAAATGACTTGTCGAACTGCTCTAATCTTCTAACCAAGCTCTTCGCCGATGATGCCTGCCTGCTTGCTAGTGGAAGAGACTTGACCACACTCCAACACACTGTAAACTCAGAAATAAATAAAATATATGAGTGGATGTTATGCAACAAACTTACTGTAAATGTCGAAAAATCTAAAGTCATGGTTTTCAGCCGAAAATCGCTAAAAACACATGCCAACATTCTAATCAAAATCAGGGGGGTTGCCTTGGAAGTCGTCCAATCCTATAAATATCTCGGGCTCCATATAGATAATAATTTAAAATGGAACACCCATACTATCGAATTACATAAGAAATTGTCGAGATCGGTTGGGATATTGGGAAAACTCAGACATTATGTCCAGGATGCCACCCTGCGAACTGTCTACTTTGCTCTCTTTCAATCCCACATACAATATGCCATAACCGCTTGGGGCTCAGCAGCGCAAACTAACATTCATAAATTGGAGATCTTACAGAATAAAGCTGTTAGAACCCTCTCTAGATCATCTATTCGTACAAACCTAAACACCCTATACCATAAAACAAGGGTGTTAAAACTATCTGACATTCACACTCTAGAGATCTCCAAAGTTATGCACCAATTTCAAAACAACCACTTGCCCACAGCTTTCGACAATTATTTTGTTTCGCTTACCTCTGTGCATGAACACAACACTCGCTCTTCAACCAAGTCCAATTTTTTCGTACCTCGCTTTTCACTGAGCAAATCTCAAAATTCCCTGAAATACAAAGGTGTCATAATATGGAATAGTATTCCACAAAGTTTACGTGAAAGCACATATGTCTCTTTTAAAATAAAATATAAGAAGGTCATGCTTTCATCTTACCTGTCTCGGGTCACCACATCTGTTTGATGTGCTGACACCCTCCACCCCTTGTCATTGTCAGCTCAACACTTGACTTCCCCAAAATCCACAGTAACTGAAATAGATAGAGACTCTGTAAATATTGAACTTGTTATTTCCCCCACCGTGTCAGTGCACAGCCATGTGTCACTCATACAATAACCAAACTATTCATCTTGCCAACATCAGGCTCAGACGGGTTATCTTGGATCCAAACCATACCGGTAGTCTATACCGGTGGGTCACTTCACCCATGATCCATAATTTTGGTCTCAGATTGTGTACAAATACTTAGCTATCCTTCATGTCTTTGTCAAGTGCCAGTATACTCACCAATTTCATAATTTTAATGATATTGCAACTTACTAAATTTATGTCTTTTCCATATACTGTTTGCTTGGGTACCGATACCGTAAAGTGTTTACTGCATTCATGTTTTCAATGATGGACTAAAATTTTCTAATATACTAGTTTCTTTATGTACATATTTTGTCTAACTAGCAATACTATTTACTTCCACATTTATTTATTTTGTCGATTATTTTCAATCGCCAATTAAATTTTATTATTTTTTACCTTTAACCGTCAGGTTGGGTCCTTAGGCTCTTCCCTCTTCACACGACGTCTCCGGCACCAAAGCACCTTACCACTATACTTCCACTTGTTTACACACTCTCGTATCCCTAACTGCGACAAACAAAACTATTTTATAATAATATAAATATGCCAAGTTATCGGCTTCCCCTCGCGGGATAAATATGAATTCAAGCTCAACTCAGGCAGTGTCTGTATTCCGCAGTATAAGATTTCGCTGACGTTGCCATGGTTACTAACAAGACGGTGCTCGGAGTCGTTATCCGTTTCTCCTTGGATCGGGTGTCTTTTGGGTATGCAGGTCGCCTCGACTTACTTTAACGTAAACCTGTTCTAATATTTATTGTTTGTTTGATTTATATATTACTGTTATTTATCTATTACTGTTAGACTTGTCATGGGTGTCGCTGCTCGATCACCAGTCTTGGTGTCTCGCGCCTCCCTTCGCCCTAAAGTACCATATTTCCTATTTCTTGTATTGTGTATTCACATTGTGTGCTTTAGAATGGTGAAAAAATAAATTACTGATTACTGATTACTGCCAGGGGTTGCCCAACCCTGGGCCTTATAACATTCAAATTATATTGTCACATCACATTTATATCTAAAAATGCATGAGAGTGAATTATTGCTTATAACATTCAAATCATATTGTCACATCACATTTATATCTAAAATACAACTTGCTCAAAATAATTATCTGTTCCCGCTTATATTCCTGAACTAAAATTGTTACCCCAGCAAAGCTACTTTATATTTGACAGATCAGCTACTGTGCCGCTGCAGTCATCTCGCATTTGCTAACAATTGACTTCAAAGAATGGGAAAGACTCACGAAGTCGCCTAACCTAAGAAATAGGGCACTGACAAATATGGTAAATTATATCAATAATTAATTTGCAAATGAAGCCAATATTGAGTAATTTATTATTGTTTTGCCTGTATTCGACATGAGTTATGTTATCAAAATTTTATTGTTATTGTCGTCTCAAAATTTGAATATTACAAAAGATAAAATACTACGATAATTCTGTTTCTGCAGTATAATTGCGTGATGGAATGGAGTCAAAGGCCATCAGTTATATGTTTCTATGTCAGTTACAGATCATTTAAGCCTTTCTATCCACTTCTTCAAAGATACGATGCGCCACCACTCCAATTATTTGCTGTTTGGACCATATGGGAGTTTTGTTCGTTTTCATGTAAGTGTAGGGTTTTTTCATTATTTCGTGATTTTTATTTGATTCGTTGCTTTATTGTATTTTGTACAGTATTTACATTATCAATATTTATCAAAATATTTGCGTTTCCACAACTATTTTATTTATATTTTATGAAATAACAATTTTTCAGCTGACACATATCAAGAAATGCTGATCAAAGAGCAAGGTATCGACTATCTTCTTGAACTGAATCAAAATCTCTACGTGGATAAAAATGTCAAAAAGTTTGCGGAACTCACTATAAAGTTAATTCACTTATTTGGAAAATAATTCAAAGAGCAAACATAAAAAAGAACTACTTTTTTAGCTTTTAAACGGCTGTTAATTAATGCCATGATTTACAGCATTGGTTTTCAACATTTTTGATGAAACGCAATCTCAATGAAAACATAAAACTATAGCTATATATAAATAAACCTAATACTAGCAAAAATGATTAATAAAGCGTAGCAATTTTAATAAAAGTGGCAAACATAATAGGTATCTGATTAAACGTATACAATATACATATAATAATATACTCTCTTTGATTTAAATGTAAACTTGCGGAACCCCTGAATTATACTGACGGAAGCCTGGTTGAATAACACTGATGCACTAGTTGAAAATAATAGTTTGAAACAAAACTTTCTCTAAGTTATTTTCTACGCATACCCGATTATACAATTATGTGCAATATATCTATCTAATTTATCTTTATAATATCATGTTATGTTATGTGTCATAAATTATCTGGTATACTTGGAGTTGCTAAGTTTCGGTTAGATTGCAAGCGTCTAATGTAGCAAAGAGAACGAGAGTTCATATGATTCAAAATTTAATTCTTATAATGGAATATATCTGAAAAAAAATTATGTTCAATTCATGTGGGATTTTCCTAACATGACCTGTGAGAATTTACCTCGTTTTAGATAATTCAAGATGTAGCCTAAGTTAGTTGTCATTCCACACCGGCAATTGCCTGATTATGCTGACTGATGTAAACACCAACTAACTGATTGAAAACTGTTGCGTCTCGTGAAGCGTCGGGTACCTCCGATGTATGTGAACCAATATGGCGGACACCGGTACGTAGTATGAGCACCAGGTTAGGGTTAGGGCATAATTTCACGTACCAATACTGCGGGAGTCACTCAGCTAGTTTCTGAACTCGTAATAGAACTAAAATACGGAAAATTGGAATAAAATTATGGCCTAACCCCAACTTAGTACATATCCTACGTTCCGATGTCCGCCATTGTGGTTCACGTACTTTGGGAGTACCAAGCGTTGTAGGAAGTTAATCTTGTTGGGGAGTAATTTTGGTTACACGTCCTTGTAAAATGTTAGTCTAATAAACATATGAGTCTACTGACTAGAGCAATTTACAATGCACTTTGTTTATTTAATCATGGGGAAAATTAATTTCTAACGATTGGTGTTTTATTATTATTATTTTTTGTACCTGTGTGATATCAAAATTGTGAACGATTTCAAAGATCATGGGATATTGCTGCAAGGTCGCTCGACTAGATTAAATCTAATCCAGAGCTTTCTAAAACGATTTAGTATTAGACGCATTCATTTTCATCATAACACACAATAAAAATCCAAGATTCAACATTTCCTTTTCTACCTTGCATATGGCTCGAAAGATTGACTGATTTGACTATGGCTGACATCGGCCAGATAGTAATATCTGAGAATGACTTCGGATTCAAAACCTCTCCAGTTGCTTTCGAGTATTTACCTGATCTTTAATTACTACAGCACTCCTCTTCAAATCTAAACATTACTCAAATTACCAAATGTAAAGTTAGAACATTTAATACTGCTGAAGAATACAATCGGTTAATCACATATTTCAGATATTTTGTGGACAAACAAAACGATGCAAAGTAAAATATGCAGAGCAAAAAAATGAGACAATAAACGCATAAAAGACACGGGAAGGAATTTTCTACCATATCGCTTTTCATATACTCTAACTTCCATTAAACTAGCGCATCCGTCTTACTATGTTGAAACTAATTATTTATTAAATATAAGTCATTTTAGTGAAATTTGCCCAATCTCGCTAAAAGATTAAATTTTGTAAGTTTATTCGGATTCAAAATGTTATTATTCATAGAACATATAATTTTTTCAGGTGATATTATTTATAATATATATATTTTTACATTGAAAATATCTGTAATTTCTGGCATGATGGCATCTACTTATCCTGTACCCAACGAAAGTTTGCCACAACCTTGCCAAGTGTACGATAAACAATTACTCTGGATTATATGAAAACTTGCTTTAGAAAGGCCACTCAGAGGTGACATTTTCTTATTGTTAACGATTGGGTTATTGTTAGATCATAGTAAAACTGTACAAAGAAAGAATGATGTAAAATGAAAAAATGCTGGACGAGTTTAAATTCATACTTTCTAATGATATATGATATGTGTAACACAGCTTGACTTCAAAACAAGTTAAAGTATTTCAAATGGATATATCTGATAAATTACACTTGGTTGTATATGAATATAATTCGATTCGCGTTCGTATACATATTACTTGCTTGCTGATTTCATAGTGCGCTTCATTTGTGTATTTTGTTGGCTGCATATGCATATATTGTAAAATGAATGTGTTTACATAGCGCCCTACGACCCCCACAGCGAAAATAGTGCCCGGCGCTATGTTTTCAGTCAACAACCGAATGCAAATAACATTGGCGCACTTCAGGTGAAGTTTGTATTATATTATATTATATTCGTGAAGATGTTCAATGGTGTTCTCTATTATGCTCCAAAATGACATAGTGCCGTATACTTTATATTTTGTGTCTTCTGTTGTGTACTACGTAAAGATACGGAACACTTCTGAGTGCCAGCAATAGTTCCATCTGTATCTGTTGTATATAGTCTGGCTTAAACTAGCTTGAGTTGGTAACCGTCGAGTAAAGCCTCGTGTAATCCCAATTGAAAGTTATATATACTTCAGTAGTCTAGTTCCTTTTCGTACCGGACTTACAGTATAGAGGCAAATGCTGAATATTTTGAATCGTATTTTTATCGCAATCTGCAAATGAAAATAAATGCATTCAGAACTTATATATTTTAAAACTCTAACACTCTATTCCAATATTCGATTAGCACGTGTTAATTCCGAGTAATATTCCATGCAAAATAACCATTTTCAGTATTTGAAATTTGTTTCCCATGAAAATAAATATTAAGGTTACCGAAAGGAGTAAATTTACCGGGACTGACACAGAGGCATATTTAGACATAATTTTGAGTTGAGTATATTGTAGAATTTAAATCTAAGGACTAGATGATGGATGGCGATGAATAGTGTAATCATTTTTTCAATAGCATAAGAATTGTTAAATATTTAGCTCGAGAAATCCATGGGGAACTGGGAAATTGAATACTTAATAAATATGACATACAACCAGTAGTGGGATTCAGTTCAGTTGGTTCGCACCGGTTCTATAGAACCGTCTCACGAAAGTTTAGGAGATCAGCGAACCGGTTAGCATTACTGAAAAAAACATGACTTTTTTAACAGAACCGGCTGAAAAATATGACTTTTGTGATGGAACCGGCTGACAAAAAATTTGAATCCCACCACTGCATACAACAATCACTGAGTGTTACACAAGCCTTACGTTATGATGTTTTATCTCGAAGTATTGTTCTTTGCATCATAAACTATGAGCCCGATTGTGTGGCAATGTAGAAATTGGGAGAGTATTGTAATGCGATATGTCCTCAACTAAAATTGTATGACGCAACCTATTCTTCTGTGTAATATATATTATGTGTTGTAATACGTTTTGTCGTGCCTTTGCTCACTTGTTTTGCGCATTTACCTTCTGAGTTCTCATTAAAAGTATAAAATCCAGGTAATATTGCATATAAAGTGCAATTAGCCAAGTTAGACATTACAGGAAACTTAAATTGAATTTTACATTTTTAGTGTCAGCGTTCGAAAACCAGATAATGAAATATAATATATTAATAATATTGACAGAATGTCGCATCCGAATCAACTTCAGAATCTTAGGAAAACTTATGAAATAGAAGTAAAATAATATTTGTAACTTTTGATCGGTAAAATGAAGTATGCTGACTAAATTGGTATTGAGCGTTTATTTACTCATTTAAACTATGCGATGAAATTTCCTACACAGGCCATTATTCACCGAAGCAGTATTCCGGGACGAGGCGTATATAGTTACTTTCTCATTCTATGGATAAATATACAATATAACGCAATGTAAGGTTGTAACTTCATATGATTTTGAATAAAGTTGGACTTACGGCTTATTAAGTTCAACCTGCAGCTGAAAAAACACAGGCATATCAGAAATAAGGCCAACTAATGTCGAATGGCCAGGATTTAAATATGAAATGACTGAAAGAAATTTGTCATTGGCATTCGTCAGCCACTCTTTGGATTAGAATAAGTTTTTCATATTTCCAGCTCAGTTCGGATATAGGAATAGATAATCATGTAATGGTGTGTGACAGGCGTAAAAAACTTATTAGCAGGTATAGATCACTTTGCGCCGTAATTGGCTTTGTTTTTAAAATGGCACGTAGCAAGTAGAATATAACAATGCCTGAATATTGAAGCAGCCATGTGTAACAAGATAATTTGTCAGCGAGGCATAGAAAATTCTAATTATATATATTTCAGAACCAATTCAAACCTTACTGTTCGTTATTAATCCAACTATTTTAGTACAAACATTAAAATCGATCAACGTATTTACAACTGACATTTTTGCCATAACAAACAGTCCAATATAAGAAAAATTTTCAAAAGTTGCAAAACAAACCTAGTCTACCCCACTCCAATCAGAAAAACTAACTATACACTAAAGCTGACATAGGAAAACTACGGCTCGCAGGCCAAATCAAGCCCGTTTGGTTATTCAATCTGGCCCGCCTGAGGCTGCCAAAACCAAACTAAAACCAAATTTTGGTGTAAGGATGGGTTATAAAATGTAACGTTATACGTCACACTTATATGACCCGCCAGTCTAGGTGGGCGAAATTTTTGATCATAAAACCTGGCCCACCCTATGTATATAATAACATGGTGTTGGATCTCGTGCAGAAAACCCCCATCAGAAAACAACCCCGCCACCACTCAAAAAAAAACGGTGAATATTAAATTAGGGTAAGGAATACAGATTGCGCAAATCCAACTTTTTAAATTATTCCCAACCAGATACTTACTTAATAATTAATACTAGTTATTTATTTTAAAACATGGCCGGGGTGTTTTCCAAAAATCTCACAGTTTTGCATTACTGGCGGGGGCTTTCTACAAAAGATCCTAAGGTGTTTTTCTTGATATATATTGGCTTTTTTATTTTTTCGATTCAGCGTAAATCTGAATTATCTAACGTGACTAACGTTAATTGACGACAATATTTCATTGAAAATAACCACGCCAGGTAATGGCATCGAATAGTGGCGATGGCGTTGTTGAAAATTTACTTCAATGTGCGGTGTGCATGGAGTCATATGAAGAATCCGGACCCCGGACACCTAAAATGCTGCCGTGCCAGCATTCATTTTGCGTAGACTGTTTGAGAAATATTTCCAGAGCGGGAAGGTAATTTGGTTTATTATATCGATTGTGATAATGGGATTTTTTCGTTTGATATATCAAACGTTATCAATATACATATTTATATCTCGTGCTAAAACATGTCACTAATTAAAACTACTAATTAATTAAATTTTTTTTTAAATCTAATTGTCTGATTGTATTTTGCGTGTAAATACAAAACGCATTAACCTGCAAAATGTCTTTTTCAGATCCCAAATTAATGTACATTTTATTGCAAAAGATTTTTCTTATTTTGTATCTTCGACGCGAGTTATATTTAATTTAAATTATGCACTTCTTGCGTGTACTTTTATGGTAATTTCAAAAGAACATTTCACTATGTAACCATTAGATAAATATCAAGTTTTACGTCGTTTATTATGATTGTTTTCTATAAAAACTTAAATTATTGATCGTTTGCACCAAGCATTAAATTCTAATTTTGCTTTCTTCGTTTATTCTCAAAATAATTACTCTCGTTTACGTCACTACCTTTAACATATGGATATCAACAGTCTGACTGGGGAATATCCGTAGAACTCGCCGATATTAACACTTTTTTTTCAGAATACAGTGTCCAAGTTGTCGTAAACAATTCTCTATACCTGTTGATGAACTTTCCAGAAGTTTCGTTCTTATTCAGCTACTGGACACTATAGGGTCGTCGCCCAGAAATGATAATGTAAGAGTATTGACCCTTTTATTTTCTTTACAAATATGACACTGAACGTTTCGCAAAATAAAACGATCTGTAAAATGAAAAATTAATCAAAATCTAAAGAAAACTAACTCGGTCAAGGACTCTCAGAAACAGATATTGTTAATGTGTTGTTTGGTAAAGTTTTTACTATCTTACTAAAATTTGACTATTTTTAGTCTAACCTATATGATTCGATAATTAGGCTTCCCGCTGCTTGTCAGCAGGGAACCTATTGTATTCCTGTGTTTTATTATTATTAGGCTTCCCGCTGCTTGTCAGCAGGGAACCTATTGTATTCCTGTGTTTTATTATTATTATTATTTATTTATTTATTTATTTATTTATTTATTTATTTATTTATTTTTATTATTTTTTTTTCAAATTGGTCCTACAAACTTGAAATTCACCTCAAATGTGCAGAAGTTCTCAGCTAGCAATAAAATGCAAATTTTATGCATGACTGACCACGCTTTCACGCTCCAGTGAGCAAAACGCGTTTTCAGTTTTTTTGCGATTTCTCGAAATTGATACATGCTATTGGGTTGAAATTCATAACAATGATTAATGGACATGTTCCGGATACGATATGTCAAGGATACGCATGAGTGACCTCGGCGATACGCTCCAGTGAGCAATATAGGATTTTACATTTTCATCTTCTTCTCGAGAACGACACTACTTAGAGACTTAAAATTTACATCACATGCGGATAATAAGTTCCCCATCATAAATTGCAAATTTTATGCATGACTGACTACGCTTTCACGCTCCAGTGAGCAAAACGCGTTTTCAGTTTTTTTGCGATTTCTCAAAATTGATACATGCTATTGGGTTGAAATTTATAACAATGATTAATGGACATGTTCCGGATACGATATGTCAAGGATACGCATGAGTGACCTCGGCGATACGCTCCAGTGAGCAATATAGGATTTTACATTTTCATCTTCTTCTCGAGAACGACACTACTCAGAGACTCGAAATTTACATCACATGCAGATAATAAGTCCCCCATCATAAATTGCAAATTTTATGCATGACTGATCACGCTTTCACGCTCCAGTGAGCAAAACGCGTCTTCAGTTTTTTTTTACGCGGGAAGCCTGTTAAAGCTGCAGGCAGCTCTAGTTATTATTTAATTATCCAGTGAGCGTCTTCAGTTTTTTTGTGATTTCTCAAAACTGATACATGCTATTGGGTTGAAATTCATAACAATGATTAATGGACATGTTTCGGATACGATATGTCAAGGATATGCATGAGTGACCTCGGCGATACGCTCCAGTGAGCAATATAGGATTTTATATTTTCATCTTCTTCTCGAGAACGACACTACTTAGAGACTTGAAATTTACATCACATGCAGATAATAAGTTCCCCATCATAAATTGCAAATTTTATGCATGACTGACCACGCTTTCACGCTCCAGTGAGCAAAACGCGTCTTCAGTTTTTTTTACCCGGGAAGCCTGTTAAAGCTGCACGCAGCTCTAGTTAACATTTGATTTTTCAAATAAATACTCAACTACTAAACGACAATTTCTACAATATAAAAATCTAGATTTTTTTTTTTATTTAGGATGTAAGGTGATGCTTTTATATTTAGGTAACTGAAGCAAATCTTTCGAATCTGCTCAAAGAAAAATTTCGTGACTCCGACAAGGCAAAAGAGTATTTGTCGAAACTTACTGAAAAAATATTGAGGTTAGAAATGTTCAAGTCGGAAGAAATTGAGGTTTGGAATATTTTTCAAAGAATTCGATCATGTTTTAAAATTTATTACGATTTGATCTGAAAAAACAAGCTCGCCTTGCTTAGATCGGTAATTGGATGAATGGGCTGTGAATAGCTACTCCATGAGGTAATTATGGTAATTCGTCGCCAGGTCGCCTTATGCTCTAAGAGTCTTAGTCAAATGTTGTCTAACCCAGTGGTTCCCAAACTTTTTTGACCATCGCCCCCCAAAAGTAGTTTATACAACTTCATCGCCCCCCTCCACTACCAAAAAAATATAAAGTCAGAAACGAATATATTACATACCAAATAAGAAGACAAATCATAGTTTATAGTGTTTTTTAATGAGATAGATGAGCTTGGTGTTCTTCAGCGAGTTTTTTATTATATCTAAAATTACCCCGTTTACTGATGGAAAGGTGATTTCGTTGTTTTAATAGCAATAGTAGCACGGCTGAAAACACCGTATAATAGGTCGGAAATGAAAGAATCCAGGGTTCTACCTCCTCAAAAACCGCCGTGTACTCTTGCCTTATAGCATTTCACTTCCTAAATTCACCCCATTCCACATTAAAAAAAGAAAAAAAGTTAATTTTCCCAAAGTTATAATAATTCGTACATCTCATTCATTCGTACAGCCTGATGACCTGCACCAAAATACTTCGGAAAAGTTCATCCCCGATTCCTCATCCTATCACGGCCTCCAGTCCGATCACCAGTCCATAATTAACCAGCCATTTGCTTTTGGATCCATGGACTCGGATGGGGAAGAAGCCGTGAATGACTATCGGCTAGGGCCAAGGGGTCGGCAAATTTTATGTCGCTCGCAGGACAAAATTTAGGGTTGCTAGTCTTTTGCGGGTCGCATATATTTTTTGAAAGTTAAAAACGGAACAGCGTGCGAAAACTGCGACAATTCGTGAACTTAACTTAGTCGTCTTATTGAAAAAATATCACAATGACATTTAATGTGACACTGTCTTGTTGCTGCATCACACTGGATAGCTTTACGACGCCAAGATTGAAACATCTTCTAAATGGGCATCACCAAACCCACTTCTTTGCTTGTTCTTTGTAATGTTCATTTTCAAAAATAATGGTTTGCACAAATATGTACTTCCAAACATCGAAGTGAATATTTTCGCATGATTCGTGAAATTTTGATAAATATTTTCTTTAAGACGATACATTCTTACAAAAATTAAGCAGTGATGAATCTCCCGAATAGAATATGAATTTTATTTCCTTAGTGCTTTGCAATATATTCGAATATTTACTGCGCTATTGAACCCCTGCACTCAGCATCAACTTTTCTGCGTGTTTCCATTTGTCTAATTACAATTAAATTGTAGGCTCGTTGAACGAGTCGCTGTTCACTAAATTGTTGTGATATAGTATAATTAAGGCTAGACGTGTCTCACGATAAATTCTGTTACGTAAAAAAATGTAATTTACTCCTCGAGCGTAGATTATAAATAAAAAAATTTCATCGCCGAAACCGCCGTTTGAATATTTCCCCGGGCATAACCTTCCATGTTTACTTCGTGACATTGGCCAATCAGCAAGAAGCAAAAAACGTAACAATTCCCCCTTTCGCATCCGCTCAGACACTCTCACTCAGACAGATTTTTAGATGTGGTCGTGAACACTACCTCATTTTTGCGTTTTGAATTATATTCGTTAGTTTTTAGTTGTTTTTCGGAAATTTAAATATAAATCAAATAGGCCAATGATTACTTTGTCTTTCTATGAGTTTCAGTTTAAATACAGCAATCAAAAATTAGTGTAAAAATAGCTGTGATAGACTAGGCTAAAATTCTTTATCGGTACTTTGAAAAAAAAAATTGTTAAATGGTGTGTATTACAATGATAGTTTGAAACAAATACCCCATTTTACAGGCAACAACTCGCAAAACCACTCTTAAAATAAGCACCGAAAATTTTAAAATGGTAAAGTATGGGAAAAATTTTCCGCGGCCAAAGGTCGGGGAAAGGTCCATTCAGTGAATCGTCCCGGGCCAGATTATTTTACTCCGGCCGTATTTTGCCGACCACTGGGATACGCAAACTACCGTACCTTTCTGCGAAGACGAGACCAGAAATCCTTTCGCGTGTGAATATCACCCACATGATTCAAGCCTGCGAATGCACACAGAGTACAGAATTAAATGCGCCGAACATAAAACAGGTTTCGCGAAATCGCCCCCCTATCGCCCCCTTAGACTTTTTCGCCCCCCTCTGTATCGTTTTCGCCCACTGGGGGGCGATATCGCCCACTTTGGGAATCACTGGTCTAACCTATGCGTCGACTGGAAATTCTCCTGGATCGTTTGTTTTCAAAGCAAAAACCTAAAAGCTGTGGGTTTTTGAATAGTTTATTCTGTATTCGGTACGAGATTGTTGCTCAGAAGGAATTATATTTGTGGAGAGTGTCGTCTGGTAAAAATATGGCAGCCAATATTTTGCTGAAAGTAAAGCCACGCCGTGCAGGATTTCGAAAACACGCCGTGGGTAAACAAGACCAGCTTTCTCGCTTTGGAGTAATATCTGGTAGAATTAAATATTATGTGAAAATGAATTTTTTGTATTATTAAATTAATTTTGCGGCCATCAAAGCACTACATGTTGTCCAGTATTTGTGCATATTCTCGTGTCGCAAGATTTTATATTACAGTTTTTAAAAAAGTAGGGCGTTCGAAAAAAAGGTAGGGATTGAGGAACTACATTTGCATTGATGTTGCAAAATTTACTTCAATACAATTAGATTTAATAATTTCATATTTTAATCATATGTTTTAGGCAGCGCTCAGTTGCATTCAATACTACAGAATACCAAGCGACACAAGTCGCTCAATTCAAATTACCGCCACGAAGTTTGTGATGAATTCGATTTCAGTTGGAGGTGAAGGAGTGACAGTACATTTGCTTTCTGAGGTAATTATACTTAGGGGTTTGGAGATTGAGCCCAACTGTACTTTGTTGTTTTTTTTACAAAGCAAGGTCGCCAATCTAAGTGAATAATAAACATACCTTAATGTAAGTGAACCATGACGTCGTACTTCATTCTCTCACATGCTGATTAATTGACGTCTAAGGATCATTGATTGCGCGTTTCAAGGGAACATGTGGAGCTTAAAGATCACAGTTTTCAAGTTATTATCGCTTTTGTGCGCTCTCGTAAACACCCCCATTCATTTTCAAGAAAATAACCCTCTTTTTTATATAATGTTAAATATGGTTGGTTAAAATGATATGATTGTTGAAATGATAACGAACAACATTGCTTGTTCTGCAGCAGCAGCTAATTTTATGGTAGTCCTAAAAAATTTCTTTTGATACAGGTTGCTACTGAACTGATAAAAACTATAGAGACCTTTAAAGATGATGAATTTTCTTCTGAGGTATTGCTGACTTGTATGGCAGTTTTGGCTTTACCCGCTATGGAGAATAAATCGGTAAGATGTATTTGGGAAAATCGTTTTTTTATACCCACGTTTTTTTTTATTATGCCTCGTCATATACATAAAGGTTTTAATAAATCTATTTTACAGATTTGTGTGTTGATCGGCGAAGCATTTTGCGGGCCAAAATAAAGGGTTGCAAGTCATTGGCGGGCCGCACATATTTTTATAAGGTCCAAAAAACCGAACGCATGGCCGATGAATCACATTTTTTTACGCAGATCAGAAGTTAAATTTGAAGCAGCGCTAGAATAGTGCGCCAACTCGTGAAATCAACTTGGTCGTTTTACTAGAAAAAAAAAAATTAAAATGAAATTTAATGTGACCCTTTTGTTGCATCACGCTTTTCTAAATGGGACACTAGTGAAGCCAAGATTAGAACACTTCATGAATGCGAATCACTAATTTGAGTTCTCAGCTTGTTCTTTCTAATGTTGATTTTTGAAAATATTTGTTAGCATGCATATGTACTTCAAAACATGAATGTGAATTTCTTCGCACGGTTTGTCACATTTGGATAAAGTTTTCTATGAAGAAGATACTTTTTATAATAAAAATCAAGCAGTGATACATCCCTCGAATAAAATATAGATTTGTTTCCTCCTTGCATTGCATCTCAAGAAATTCTATTTGAATATTTTCTGCGCCTTTGAACCCACTGCACTCAGCATCAACTCCTCTGCGTTTTGTCGCCATTTGTCTAATTATAATTAAATTATAGGCATATTAAACGAGTAATTGTGAATTATATACCCGTTAGATTATATTATAATTTAGTCTACACGTCTCTCACAATACATTCTGTTTCGTAAGGAATATAATCGTCAAAACAGCTGTTTTGTTACTATAATTCAGTGAAGCGTCCTGGGACGAATTATATTACTCCACGGGCCGTAGGTTGCCGGCCCCTGATTCAAAGTGTTTGGTGCAACATAAACGTAAAAGGTGCTCAACCATACAAAAACTCACTAGAATATGTGATAGCTGAAGTATATATCAATTGTTTTATTCCTGAGTTATATCGGTTAATCTTTAAAAACAATAAGTGCGGGCTGTCAAAATATATATTTCATTTTTTTGCCATGCTATCTGTGATATCCAACAAATTAATTTTCGATTCGGCGATTACCGACACTTGTAGATATTTTCTTTTCCAGTTCATCAATTACCTGAACTTAGCCCACCTGCTGATGACAATTCTAACTACGAATAAAAATGAATTAGAATCGAAGTTTGTGGAATTTCTAACTAATATATCAGCAAGAAAACTGTCACAATCAGATATCGCCAGTATCGGAAACAAAAAATATGTGGAGGTTTATTGTAATTTAGAAAACTTGTGTGAATGTTAGATAAAATAGTATTATTTTCAATTATAATACTTATTCCAATTATAAACTTGAGTAATGGTTCTTTATTTAAACTATCATTTAATTAGGGTATGTATATATTTATTCCTTTGTCCTTAGTCATATGGCGACTTGCCAGATTCCAAAATTTCAATGATATTTTTTATAATATAACAATTAATATACAATTCGTCTACTATTTCGATAATCAAATATTCTCATAAAAATATATTGTTGAACATATAACTGACTGAAACATATTAATGATAAATGTATACTCTGATTGTCTTTAAGTGTTTTTTTTAGAATATTAATAATTACATCAACACAGAACTTTGTTGAAATAAACAATTTTTCATCTAGAATCTCTTATCGATGCTGAGGAGGAAAATGAACACAAGGTCCCGAGATGCCATTTTTTATAATTTGCTGTCATTGCTGGCGTACCTAACTGCTGAAACTCCTTCAACATGTACAAATATTGTTAATGCAGGAGGGATAACAGTTTTTGCTCAGTTGCTTGAGGTATGTCTCATTTTATGTCAAATGGTATGGGGTATAATATCTACAATTACTGAAAGAGAAGATAACGAATCAAAAAGTAAATTTCGAACCAACTAAATTTTTTAAATCAGTTTTTCCAAATCAGAGTCAAGTTATAAACATGTGTTAATTTGAATTTCAACACATCTTCAGAATGTTATATTTTGATAAATCACCGACAATTGCCGATAAATTTAACAGCTTGGCCTGTTAAACTATATGCTAGTTTTGTCGTTGAGAATTCGAAATTTTGCCATGTCATTCGATCCTGGATTGTTCCGAGTTCTGTACTATATTAACTGCTTGTGTCTTGTTTTTACAGGATAACGATCCCGTATCAAATAAAAGAGTGCTAATGAATTTGGTAATGCACTGAACGTTATTCTACTTTCTAACAATCTTTATCCTAACCACATATAATGTGTGTATTTGACCTGACTGATCATTTCGTTGAGTTTCTTAGTTTATCGGATAGGCTAATCAGTGTAAAATTGAGAAAATATATCGTAGCTTCCTAGGTTGTTTAGATAGTTTATTTCATGCAATATCTAAAACATGGCGATTAACAAAGTAAAACCTACACAGCGTAATTGATTTAGAGCAATTTGACGGATGTACCAGAAATATGCTATCACTTCTTGGACGGCAACTCTGGGGCAGTCGAGTGTCTACTAAAACTTATGAATTCAGATGAAATACATATGAGTAAATTATTGCTTATAACATTCAAATTATATTGTCACATCACATTTAAAACTAAAATACAGCTTGCTTAAAATACTAATAATTGTTTATGTTCCTGAACAAAATACTTCACCCCAGCAATGCGAATTTTTATTTGGCAGATCAGCTATCTTTCGGCTGCAGTCATATCGCGTTTGCTAACAATCGACTTCAGAGAATGGGAAAAACTCACGAAGTGGCCTAACCTAAGGAATACGGCACTGATAAATGTGGTAAATTGTTCTAATAATTAGGTTGCAAATAATGCCAGTATTGCCTGGTTTATGTATTTGCCTTATTTGACATGAAGTGTCATGTTAATTGTTTTCTTCGTCTTGAAATTTATATCATACAAAAGATAAAATATCACGATAAATCTGTTTCTGCAGTATAATTGCGTGCTGGAATGGGGTCAAAGGGCATCAAATATATGTGACCAAATCAACTTCGTATCATTCAAGCCTTTCTATTCACTTCTTCAAAGATACGACGCGCCACCACTCCAATTATTTGCTGTTTGGACCATATCAAAGTGCTGTTCAGATTCACGTAAAGGCAGGTTTTATTTTTGAAGTTTTAAATCTGCATCGTTAATTTATTGTACTTTGTACTCTATTTACATTATTAGCCTACATTTGCCACAATGTGTGCGTTTCCACAATGAATATTTATATATATATATATATATGACATAACAATTTTCAGCGGAAACTTACAAAGAAATGCTGATCGAAGAGCAAGGTATCGACCATCTTCTGGAACTGAAACAAAATCTCTACGTGGATGAAAATGTCAAAAATTTTGCCGTACTCACCCTGAACTTCATTCACTAATTTAAAAAAACGGATTCAACCAGTAAACATAAAAAAAGAACTATTTTGTGGCTTATAAACGCCTAGTAAATAATTCAATAATGTACAGAAATTGGGGATTTGTTCGAAAAGACTTACTTTAAAGCAATCTGCAATCAATAATAATTACTGGTTAATGAGTAGGACTGGACATATATTCGAATATTCTACTATTAGAATAGCAATTCACTATTCGAAAATTTGGTAACAGGTGCGCGTCGCCTAATCAAACGATTGGATTTCACAACTCACTTGCGGATTTTCGACGAAAAGTCGAACACGTTTCGATAGAGTTCGCGAGTTCGAACAACGAGGAATAATTTTTTTTTTGGTAAGTGCCTAGGTGGTAATGGTGGCAACACAAATTTTCTAAATTGAAAAGCGGCCATACAAAATACTAAAAAAAACGGATAACACCATAAGAATTCACAATAATACGAATCAAAACGAAATATATTCGGGCACTTTACCACTTGATATTTTCTTGAGTAGTATTGCTTTTATTTCGTCAACACAATTGCAAATCAAAATCATCACAATTAACTCAATAGTAAAGCAAGGCGATGAATATGTAGGCTATTTTTGATTTACTAATAAACATTAAATATATTTTTAATAAGTACTAAATCAAGTTGTACTTTCTAGAACTTTATAGCAGAAAGTAGGGTTTTTCTAACAGCGATAACAAATTCGGAAGATCGAAAAAAATATGTACCAAAACTAAATATACTAGAGCAATATATTTTCACATTATTATGTTCGCAAATTGCCGTGGCATTTTAAAGAAGTAATGCTTTCAGCTTGTCGTAAGTCGACGAAACCGCGAGTTACCATGAACACAATTAAATTAAAATAGAAAGACATTTTAAATTCTCGTCGTTGTCATGTACTGAATATTGTGCGACCGAAACGGCCATTATACACTGAAAAAGTGAATTCTTTTAACGAGCGCGTAATTGTGGCGAATTTCCGATTTTGAAATTTTAATGTTGTGTTTGGTTTTATTGCTTCTTTACACAGAGTACGGTTGCAAACTTGCAATAAACGCTCCTTGAGTCCACAAAGGTTTTCGCCTATGAGAAAACAGTCCCCGACCAAAAAAGGTTGGGAAACGCTGTTCTAAAACATAGGTAATGGCTAATCCCATATTGATTGGTGTGCTATTTGTAAGTTCAAATACAAATGCTTCAGTAATAAAACACAATTGCTGGAAGTGGCGCTTTGTTTGTCGATAATCTAATTGCATGATTTAGATACAAATGTTGCAGAAATAGTAACATTTCATCGAATACAAAAGAAGTCGAACAATTGAGACAATATGTAAAACGAAACGTTCGGTACATATGCTTTTAATGCAGAAGACACTAACAGCATTTTAATATGGACTCTCCGAGTTAATCTAAAATGCTCCATTGGATTTGAATTTGAAATATAAAACCGACACGAAATAGATACATCTGGATTCGTTCCAGTCGACAATAAACGCAAGGCTGCACGATGAGCGCAAGATAAATTTATCTAATTAAAGGTAAGGAGACAACTGGGATTAAGCCAGGGAGCTCCCGTCCAGCGGTCGAGTGCTCTACCACTGAGCTACGTCCCCAGACCTAGCCTCGAGAGAACTTTGATAAATATTGCTTTACATGTGTTTGCCGTTTGTATTTTCAGATCTCTCACGCGTGATTGTCCGAGTAAGATAATTACTTGCGTTGCAATTCACCACAAAACTGTGGCACTCATCCTGGTTGTTACGAGAAATAACACCAAAGTTCAGCACAAAACACGCTGATTAATCAGTTCAGTCCGAAGGAAGATTTGTGTGAGGCAAAGATTTTTTATTTGGCAATTTTTAATTCCGTTGCCCCCCTAGTATTGTTAAAATTTAAACTATCAGTAAAGAGGGCACCAATATTTGAACCAGGGACCTCTCGAATCAGCAGTCGAATGCTCTACCACTGAAATATATCACGTAACCCGTGCATTCGCAATTTTAGGGAATACCAAGTTAAAACGCGTGATCGTTTGCCCGAGAAAGGTCATGAAGAGTATGTTGGTTCTGTACATACATTCTGTACATTTTCATTTAGATGAGCTTTAACTCACTCTTGCAGATACAGTAAATAACACCATCACTAAATGTAAATAAAACCACAAGTTGATTAATCAGTCTCTTCAGACGGACGAATCGTTTGCGGCGATGTTTTTTTTTCATATTCGGCGATTACTTGTTTCACTAGCCCCGTGAGGGATATTTAACTGCATTTTACAATTGTGATTTTCTGTCTCAGTCTGATTGCTGTTGGTATAACCATAAATTACTAATCGGTGCGAGAAGCAGTTGAAACCTAATTAGATATTTGTGAGGTTAACAATGAGTCACATGCACCCTAGTCAAAAAAAATTACAATCATTAGGAAATGATAGCCATGAAACAATGTAACAAAACTCGTAGACTCGGTAGTTCTAATATACCATGTCAGAGACAAATTATTAGTATTTTGAACAAAAGTTGAAAAGCTTATCATCAATGACTTGAGGACAATGGATCTCGTGCCCCTTAACTTCAGATGAGAATGGTAGTGAAGTATGTGCGTATATTCGACTACGTCGCAAGGAACAGACTCGTTCACTGCAATAAAATTTTCACAATTAAGATCACGGGTAACGGGTAATAATCTTAAAATTAGAAATAATGCAAATGGGAAAAGTGACGATTGCAAAAAAAATTTTCAATACATGACATTTAAATTCTAATAACTAAGAAAAACGGATAAAGCTCAAGAAGATTTAAAGACACGAATCCTGTCTGCAGCTAAAGAGATTTGGAGTTTTATTGCAGTTTGGAAATCGAAGGCATAGAACTCTTAATTCCGCGAATAATTGAAGATATGGTAAGGGATGTAGGCAGGCATCTTTGAGAAAAGGTGAAGAAGTCGCCATTGTTCCAATCAATGCAAAAACCAATCAAAATATTTTTTAAAATATTTTTTTTTGAGAAAGGGATTTCAAGGAAGAACTTCTTTGTGGCATTAATATACCAGGACCATACCGCCAGTCGTTCTGTCTTCCTGTGTGTCAGGCTCTAGCGCAGCATTTCCCAACCTTTTTTGGTCGCGGACTATTTTCTCATCGGCGAAAACCTTTGCGGACTCAAGGTGCGTTTATTGCAACCGTACTCTGTGTGAAGGAGCAATAAAAGCAAAAACAACTGAATTTTAACGAATTTCAACAATGGCCCTTTCTGTCGAACAAATTCAATCACGAAAACGACGAGAATTTAAAATGTCTTTCTCTTTTAATTTAATTGTGTTCATGGTAACTCGCGGTTGCGTCGACGACAAGATGAAAGCATTACTTCTCTGAAATGCAACGGCGATCTGTGAACATAATAATGTGAGAATATATTGCCCGATCATATATATTTAGTTTTGATACATATTTTTTGCGATCTTGCGAATTTGTTATCGCCGTTAGAAAAATCCTAGTATCTGTTATAAATTTCCAGAAAGTACAACTTGATGCAGTACTTATAAAAAGTATATTTAAAGTATACTAGTAAATCAAACATACATATTCATTGCCTTGCTTTATTATTAATTTAATTGTGAGCTTTTTTAATCTGCGGTTGTGTTAACGAAATAAAAGCAATACTACTTCTGAAAATATGATGACAATCCGTGAACGCAAAAATGCGTGGTAAAGGGCCCGATTATATTTTGTTTGATTCGCATTTTTGTGAATTCGACAATTCTGAGCTGTTCGTAACAACATCCACGGCCAGTAGTGTACGTACCAATGTGGAGGCAGTAAAGCAAAGAATCCTAAGGGAAAATGTCCTGGTACGGTAGCATCCGAAATTGCGGATTTGCAATGTCTAAAAAAGCGCTTTTAATCGGTCGCGGACCATCATAAAACAAACTCATGGTGTTCTCCCTTTTATTTTTATTATTTTTGTATTGCCGCTTTTCAATTTAAAAAATTTGCCTGGCCACCATTGAACACCTACCAGAAAAAAAAAAATTATTCCTCGTTGTTCGAACTCGCGAGAAACACCACTGAGGTATCTATCGACCGTGTGCACACTCGTGTTTTCGTCGGAAATCCGCAAAGTGAGTTGTTGAAATTCAATCCGTCTGATTAAGCGCAAGTGACCTGTCGCGCCACTTGTTACCAAATTTTCCAGTAGTAAATTGCTATTCTAATCAGTTTTACTATTCGAATATATGCCCAGCCCTACTCAGTAACCAGTAATTATTGACTCGATTAATGTTATGTGACTAAACTTGCTTTTTATGTTTTATGTATATTCTAACATAAATCGTAACGTGGTTGATACTAAAGTCTCGCGGACTCATTCAAACGCTCCGCGGACTCATTTAAGACCGCGGACTCGGGTTGGGAAACACTGCTCTAGCGTCTTAATGACTGGACCGATCTGGATGAAATTTCACGCGTGGGTTATCTTGTCACCCTAGTAAAGTGTGTTTTCTAGAAAGTCCGGATTGGAGTTTGGTTTCCATGGCAACAACGAAAAATCGCGCCGATCGTTATGAAATTGAAATTCCGATAACGCTACCTTCTGCAGAAGAAAATACTCTTTTGAACAAGTCGTCTTTTGTCTCGATACTTCATCAACTGGAAAAGCCTTAGAGATTTTACTCACGCGAGAAGGCGCAGATCTAAAAAGAACTGGCAGTTTTGGTAACCCGCTCACTAAATCACGCTGCTGTTATAGATCCGCAGGTTTATATGGATAGTAACCGGTTGCATTAGTGCGCGCCCCAACTATCAGCGGAGATCCTGGGCGCCGGCTTGTTAATAAATTAGTTTATTATTGGATCTCCGATCTAGGAGATTATCAGTCATCCTGTCTGTCTGTGTGTCGGAGCTGTAGCGTCTTAAAGGCTGGACTGTTCTGTATTAAATTGCACACGTG